TTTAAAATAGCGCGTGCTATTTGCGCCACATGTGAGCCATGACGCATTACGCACGGCGCAAAATAGCGCGCCAAATTGTTTTTAAATTTCAGTATACTTATGAATATTTTTTATATTTAAAAATATATTTATATTTTAAGATAAACAACTATTCATTGCCCTAATTTCACGAAAGATTTTTTGTTTGCTGCATCCGTCGAACACATCCTGCAGTCCCTAAGTCGAAGTTGCTGAATCTGTCCCGAAGTCGAAGGTTTTCTGTTTTCTGTTTGCTGCATTCGCTGCTTCCGCCGAATCCAGCGTAATCTGTCCCGAAATTGAAGTCGTTGTTTCCCCCGAATCGTCCCGCAGAGCAGTGCTTCCGCCAAATCCGCCCCCTCCTTTGTTTGTTCCAATAAAAAATCTTACTAGCTGACTCCGATTTGCAATCTCCGTCTGTTCCGCACAGCTCTGTTGTTTTGCACGGCTATTTCTTACAATAATTTACAACTTAACAGGTATGCTCACTACCGCTATGTACTTGCTGGATATCGCTCGGTACCGCTATGTACTTGCTCGGTGCCGCTAGGTACATGCTCGGTACCGCTAGGTACATGCATGATACTGCTCGGTACCACTATGTAAATGCTCGGTACTGCTCGGTACTGCTCGGTACATGCTCGGTACTGCTCGGTACATGCTCGGTACAGCTCGGTAGAGCTAGGTACATGCTCGGTACCGCTCGGTATCTTTCCATACAAATGAACTTCAAAATTACGCTCGGTAAACGCTCGGTACAGCTAGGTCGAACCCCGCCAGGGGGCAACGCCCCCTTGGACCCTCGGCAGCCCGCATATTATGTTTCTTGGACAATATTATGTTTATTTTATCTAAATTTATTTTTTTTAGGTGATCATAAAATGTCAGATTCAGTTCAATTTTTAAAAAAAGATCTAGCATGAGAAGGTGCACAAATCAAAGAGCACTTGTCAAACCCGAAAAGACTCGTTTTGTAACAGCTTTCTTAACTTTACAACGTTTTCATCAACAACAACTGAACTTGAAGAAAATGTTTTCTTGTGAGGAATTTATCTTGGGTTCTTATGCGAAAGAGGCTAAAGCAAAACAATCTCAACATACAATCTTACAACAATCATTTTGGAACACTATAGTGTATGCCTTAAAAATAGCTGGTCATTTATTAAAGGTTCTTAGATTAGTTGATGGAGAGAAGAAGCCTCCAATGACTTACATATATGAAGCAATTGATAGAGCAAAAGAGGCAATTGCTGCAAGTTTCAATAACAGTGATAAGTATGATAAATTTTTTAAAATAATTGATAGAAATGAGAAGTGCAATTACACCTGCCTCTACATGCAGCGAGCATTTTTTAAACCCTGAATATTTCTTCAATAACCCTAATATTGCCAAGGATAAGGAAATAGCTGATGGTCTTTACCAATGTATTGGAAGATTATCTCAAGATGTAGCTAAAGAAGATAAAATCAGTAATGAATTAAGTTTATACATTAGGGGTGAAAGACTATTACACATTTCTCCAGCTCTATGACAAAGAACTACTCGATCTCCAGATATCATTATTTACAAAAAAATTAAGACTGATTTGCTATATAATATTGAAAAAAAAATTCATTTCTTCCAGCTGATTGATGGTTGGCATATGGACAAGGAGCTCCCAATTTACAAAGCTTTGCTATCAAAGTCATAAGTCTAACATGTAGTTTATCTGGATGCGAATGCAATTGGAGTATTTTTGAACATGTAAGTATTTTACAATGTATGTGTTGGTTTTTTATATATGTTTATAATATAGTAATTGAATTAATATTTTAATTGCAACTTCATAGCAAACAAAGAAGCAAATTGGATCATGGTCGCTTAAAGGATTTAGTTTATGTGAAATATAATAGAGTACTGATTCGGAGATTCAATCATTGTGATGTCATCGATCCTATTTCTTTGACTGAGATAGATGATGCAAATGAATGGCTAACAAGAAAATTAGACGATGAGTCTGATGAAGAAAATTACTTTATTGCTGGAGAGTAAGATTTAACTTGGACAAGTGTTGCTAAGGCTATTGGTGTTTATGATAAAAGCTATAATATTCAGGAAAGATCTAAAGGAAAGTAGAAGGAATCTTCAATTAGGCATGATATTGCTATTGAGAATGAGGATGAGGAGGGTGATGAAGAGGATTATGAAGTAGGAGACAATGTTGATGAAGATAATAAAGCTTTTTAAACATTTGCTGATGACGATGATTCCCAAGAAGAGTAGATTAAATTTTTATTTGATCTTTAAAAATATTGTAATATTTGAATTATGAGATATTTGGATGTTACTTAGTCGAACATATATATGTTATAGTTGTCTTTCATTTTTAATAATATTTCATATTCATGCTTATTATTTTATAATTTTTATATAGTTTGCGCCATGTTCAAAATGGCGCGCGCCGCGCCGTGCGCTATGCGCCATGGCTCCTAAGGGACCTTTTGCGCCATGGTGCGCCATTCACCGTTAACAGGTATGATAAGAAGTAGTGGTGAAAGTTAGTGTTGTTAAATCTGTTGATTCTCTTTGGTAGACTTGCAATTGAGCTATTATTTTTTACTCAAAGCTGATTTCACTTGTTTGGTTGTAGCATCATATATGTGCTGTGAAAGTCCAAAAGATTAAATGCCCGCAAACATTAACATAAAGTTGTTATGAATAATTAGGGTAATCAATTTCTAGAACTAGGAAAGAGTTATATCAATAAGTTAGTTGTCCGTAGCGCTTAAAAAAGTTTAGCATACATAAGAACTTCATTTTTGAAGTTCTAAGATAATTTCTCCTCAACATAACCCCTCCAAAAAGCACATGACATAATGTCATAGGGACTTGGTTTGCCTCTTGCTGATTATGTCCTTTGATGTCCACCCTACTAAGGCTCACAAAAACAAAACAATGGATTGATGAATTCATTTAGGAGAATATTTGCCTCCTCTCTTGTATGGCACTGCCAAAACCAGTTTCTTGTGCACTGCATTTTCACAAGTTGTATTAAGTCCAGGTTATCAACCAACAACGCCACTTTCATCTGTTTGAGCATTGTGCTGAGGCTGCTGACTAATACCATGTTCCATGCTTTTGGATGATTATAAGTTTCAGTCTCATTGTGCTGCTGATATTGAGGGTTCACTTGAGAAGAATGTCTTGTGATGAAATTATGTAATGTTATTGCAACAATAACTATGAATTGTTGCTTCTAAAATGAAAAGTTTGACATGTCCCTTAATATAACCCTTTTCTTATTCCATACACTGAATGCCTGCTCCATACTTTTAACACTTGCTTAATGACCCTCCTCAATGACGAATGACATATATTGAAAAATAAATTATTAACAAACTCTTAAATGCAAGCATATCATTTAAAATTGATAATTTAATGTGTTGGCATAGGGAATTATAAAGTTTTGTCCCTTAAGCTCTGTTGAAAAGTACCCTTCCAACCACTCTTAGAAAATGTGAAGTGCATATTATAGTCTGAAACAACCATCACATACTATGTTGGATAACCACAACGTGGTGCTTACAATCCATTTATCCTTGGGGATATTTAAATCAACATGCTTTTCAACAATAGCACCAACACATTTTTAAATAAAGTTGCTAAAAACTTCAAACATTTGCATGAAAGAACATAAAATTTATCTAATTAATTACATTGAAGTACGAGAAATATCTAGAATCACTAGTAATCTCTTTTTGTGTCCTAAATGTTAGATCAATTGGAGTTATCTTTTCTTTTTTTGACATTCGAATAAGTGATTGAAGGCTAGCTTTGAAATGCCTTTATATGGTCAAACCTAAATCTTAAAATATTCAATCAATGCTAGATTTGAACAGTTATGTGCCAGTACATAAGTTGTGATTGCAAGCATCTTTGTGCTAGTTATTTTTTTTCCTTCCAGTCAATCAATACTTGCTCTCTAGTTCAGGCAAAAGATCCATAAAATTAATTTTTGACACACATAACATATTATAGATTGGATGGTTTGCCTATAAGTTCTCCACTTTTTACCAGTTTGTGAAGAAATCATGTTGTGATTTTTTTTTTAATTATTATTGTAGTAAATGACCTGGTTAGGAGAGTAAATGCCTTAAATCTGGCCTATGAAAGGTAGTGGGATAAAAGGATTCATGAGCTGATCATATTTAGTGGGATAAAGACTTGATGTTGTTGTATGTTAAGAAAAGTAGAGGTAAATCTAAAAAGACTTAGTGGGATTCATGTATCTAATCTCACTTAGTTGGATATAAGCTTGATTTTGTTGTTGTATTATTCTAGTAAATGCTTACACTTTCACGGCTGCTGCTATATTCAAAATGGCATGCACTCTATGGTGAAAGATGATTTAGAATTTGATTAGTAATCATCTTTCATCTTTGTATAGAAAATGAATCAAAAACAAATAATACTAGAGTTCATAACATCAAAACCATGATCATTAGAAAATACGGCATTAAAGCTGAAAGCATTTTTGACAAAATTGTTCTTTAGCACTTGAAAAAAGCATTATATAATTACATGAAATATTCATAGCAGTAGTGTTTCCATAGAAAGTAATATAAGAAAAACACAAAGTTCCAAAAGACGACATCAAAAATCAAAACATAGAGTAGAGGGGACCTCTTTAACCATCCTCAAATTTCAACGGAATTTGCTGGGTTACTCTTCTCAAACTCTCTTTTAAGGAACCACAACTTCTTTCTTTGAGGCTATTGAAGACATTCCTTTTATCCTTTTTGCTGAATTAGATCAATTGCAAAGCTGTAAAATTGTTCATCTTGTTCATTCTCCTCAATTAAATCTATAATTAATATCACCTCTAGTATGGTATTCCTAGAAGACGGTCGAGCGATCGCTGTTTATAATGGAATGTGTAGTCAAAAAATGAATGCTTCTGAAACTGCATCCTTCTTCCTCATTGGGCTTACTTTCATTTGCATAGCCTTGCTAGGTTATTTTTTCTTATGTACATGCCTGTGTTTTTTATTTATTTATCAAAGTTGTTCTACATAGAAGAGTATATGGACTAGATAGCATGGCTAGGGCTCGCTGTTCATTGTTAACCTTGGTTCTTTGTCAAGCCTTGACCTGCTTGCCCAACATCATTTTTTTTAAATTGGCAAGGGAACATTATATATAATGCATTGTTTAGAATAAGGTCAGAACATTCTTGAACAATTACAATAGAAATATTGTGCTTTTAAGTCCTTTGTGATTTTAAGGATGGGGTTTAAGTTTATTTGCAAAGAAATCTTGTTCCTCATTCTAGTTATATTACATGACTGAAGTTCATCCCACATTGTTGAGACTTCATTTTTCTAGATATCTCTGTCATTAAGTTCTTTCTGTCGGCTTCTGCCACTTTCTTTTCTGGTCAACTGTTCTGCTTTTACATTTCTAATCTTGTTATTTTACTAGGAAATTGTAATCCTTAAATTTGCTTTTCAGTTTCTATGTTTTAACTTTTAAGTTTCTTTTTTTTTTAGAATTTCTTGATATGTAAACCAAGCAGAATTGTTACTCATATGGTACAGGCTTTGATCTGGTCCAAGATGAGCACTGGACTACCTATTGAGATTTCATCCGCCATGAAAGGCCAGAATTACACTTCTTTTTGTCGACTAGATATTGATATTCACCGGTATGCTTCATTATCCGTATAGCATGATTGAATGCATTAATGCTGCACAAACTAGTTGCTACTAGTAGGCCTGAAATTTAAATTTCTTTTACACTTATGAATCTTGCCTTTGCTACTCAGAAACATCCCTCACATCCATTTGCATGAGAAAAGGGAAAACAAGGAACATTGGCATGGAGCTGAAATTCAAGTTATCATCGAGGGTAACTGGACAACTTATCGAGTAAGCCACCTCATGTTTAACTTTAAAGTGCCTTTAACATTTATTTTATCATAATTGATATTTTTGCGAATTCTATCAGTTGAATAAACTATTGTTGTTACAGCTGATAATTTTATTTTACTTCTGCAGTCAAAGATATTACATTATATGCGTCAGATGGCCGTAATTACTCCTTATTCTGACTTTCTATTTAAATATTTTTCTCACGCTGCAGAGTGAGTTTCACCTTACAAATCATTTTGATTATAACCATCTTTATAATATTTTCAGCTTATTTTTGCTCAACTTTTTTCATTTATTCAGCAAAAACATGACGATTAAATTTGCACGGAGAACTGATGTCATGCCACCCGTCCCTCTTGAGACAAAGCACCACCCATCTGCTGTCGACTTACTTCTCATTAAGCGTCTCATCTCTGAAACATCCAAGCCAAACCTTTTACAGTTTCTTCAACATGAATTTGTAAACATTAGCAAGTCTTATGCTGAACGTTTGATTGGTAAGCTATATACCTGAAAGATCAAGCAATATATTTTACAAATTTATCTAACAAGTATTTATCAAACCTTGTTTCCACCTTGGAAGTTAAATCATCCTATTGTTATTATTATATATGACAGTTCTATCCTAAAATGACAGTCGCAATTGTCCTATTATCATTACTGCATATCACATCCTCTACCTGATAAACTGATCATATAAATGAAAATTTCCGGCTCTTAATTTTTGTTGGTTTGGTTATCCTTCGTAAACAAATAAAGAAGCTTAATAAATGGCTGTGGATTGTATGGATGAAACTAGGAGAGCAGATTGAATATTGGCTAGGAAATTATTGTACTGTTCTCATCCTAAACAAACAAAGAAGCTTAAGAAATGGCTGTGTATTCCATTTATAAGGAGAGTTATCATGCATGTTATGTATGTCTTTGAATCGAGTTTCTATAAACATTCTATTTAAATGGGCTTTAATGGCAGCACACCAAAGCCCATGATCAACTTGGGCTAGCCCAAGCCAATGATGGATTTTAGAAGGATGACTTAAATGGGCTTAACTTCACTTGGATAGCTCATTCGACATTCCTACATATGCAAACGTTGCAAAACTTGTGAGGTGTGACCTCTCTTCTTAGCTTATCGAATCTGTAAAAAACTATGCAGGTAAACTTTGTTAGGGTGGGAAAGTTTTTTTTTTTTATTTTAGGCGTTTGTTACTTTCCTTGGTTAAAATTTGAACCAGCACTTCTGCTTTTCCGTATCTTTCCCCTCTTAGATTAACGGATTTGTAAAATAATGAAAAAAAATAATGTCATGATAAAATATTCATTAAAAAAATAATTCATTTTATTTCGATAAGAAAACTGCCATCATTCTATAAGTGATATTGCAATCATGCTACAGCACTTTTATATATCTAGGTGGTAAGAACATTTAGCTTGTAACTATAGAGAAAACATTATACCAGATTGAAATTGATCTATCACTGCAATTCATCTCTATATTCATCTATCTATGTTTAATCACACAGGATAACGTGTTAGTGCAATTTATTGCTAGTTCTCTTTAAGTGGGGATTTACTTTTGTGTATTATATATTAAGAGAATATCACGGTGAAAGGACAATTTATCTATTTGTTGAGCAACGGAGAGTTAGTTGATTACAACAACAATAACAACAACAACAACAAGCCTTTATCCCATTGTGGGGTCAGCTACATGAATCCTTTTTCTCTATTGTGTTCTATTAAAAGTCAAATTCTCATCTAAACGAGTTACTTAGTTGATTGTGTGAAAAAAAAAATATGAGTGTATATGAATTTATATTAGAGAAGTGCGGTATTAGAACCTACTGCTGAGAAGCTTTTAGAAGTAGAAGTAGACTTAGGTGGTGGTATGTAAATGCAAAATGGGAAGTCTAAGAGGGTTGCATAAAAGTTAACGGCTAGTTATGCTGAAACGATTTCCATAAGCGAAAATTAATTCAACATGCAACACTTGAAAAAAATGTGAAGAAGGATTCAATACCATCCTCGAATTATGGGGATTAGACTAATGTTGATGACAATGATTTTGGTCTCTTGAAGAATAAGTTGATCACATTAGGGTATTATCTGCAAATCCTGCAGTTATAGATAATTTCAGAGTTTGTAATGTGTTCGCATTTTTGCTAAATCAAAACTGGGAAATTAACTTTTATTTTTCTGATACGCCTCCCTTTGAGTTTATGTATAGTTTTTTTTTTTAAATTCCAGAATGCATTGCGAACATTTTGATACTTTATGTACTTTCCTGTGCAATTTAATGTTCCAGGGGAAATGGGCCCGGATTTTAGTCCTAAGATGTTTGTCAAAAGTTTGACGTCCCAACAAATTGTTCGAATTCATCAGTTGTTTCGCCAGGCTAAATTTGATGACCCAAGTGGTGATGTGAGTAACCTATATTCTTCCCATTATCTTTTCTTTGATTCTTTCTTTCCTTTCTATAGGGTTATTATGCAACTTGATATTCTTAACTTTCAATAATCTAAATTTCTTTTAATCACGTCCTTTAATATATTTTTGTTAATAATCATAAAAGCTTACCATATCAACAGTGCCTTAGTCCTGCAGGGGAATATAATCTTCGTTTGGGGATCATTAAGGAGCTGCAGCCCGACATGGTTGCTACTCATGCTGGCAGGTGCAATTTCTTATAGCCAATTTGAGATTTGTTCAGTCAGAATTTAGATATTTTCTCTCGTAATTATTTTTTTTTTTCTCATTGCTTTTCTTCATGCTTGTAGTTTTTTTTTTTTTTTCTATTTTTCTTTATTTTATTTCAAACTTGTTATGTCATGTATTTTGTAAACTATTTGTTGCATACGTGTGAGCGTATGACACCTGTTGGATAGTGAAGTTGTTATTCATCATCATCCTTGTTAACATTATCCAAGTATTTGGGGTTGGCATTATGAATTCTTATTTTTTATTCATTTTTGTTGAATTTTGTCTTAGTTGTTAAACATTTGCAACATTTTTAATATCATTAGCTATTTTTTTCCACCTAACATTCACTTTTTCATGCACATTCAAATTCTTAAGATCTTGAAGTATGAAAAACCGATTGGACCTTATGATATTCTAATAGGTGTAGAAATGCTTTGGAGAAGAAGGAATTTTTTGACTTAAAAATTTTTCAATGTTATTTTGAAGACTAAAAAGATGTCAGATGAGTAGAGAAGTAGTGTGTTGGTTTATACTTTTAAGAATAAAGGCGATGCATAATGTGCGAATTATAGAGGAATTAAGTTAATGTGTCATGCTTTAATACTATGGGAAAGAGTTATTGAGCATAGTGTTGGTTGGGGATGAGGAGTAAACACCACAATGATGAAACGAGCAAGAAAGTAAAAGTTGCGAAAAAATAAAGGACACCAAAATTTAACGTATAAAATCCAAAATAGGGAAAAAACTACAGAGCCACACCACACCAAAAAATTCACTATGAAAATAGGGAGAAATAAGTACATATATCTCTTCTCTTTCACTCTCTCATTACTTCTATTCTCACGCACCTTTTTTAATGTCTTACAGAACTAAAAATACAAGAGAAAACCAAGTAAATAACCCAAGGGACACAACCTTTCAGAAAAATGAAAAAGAAAACTTCCCAGTTCGTCTCGCAGCACTGCAACGACAGTTTAGGGCGTTACGGTGTTCAAACCTCTATTTTAATCTGCTACGGCGCTATATCTAGATTGCTACGGGGCTCCAATTTCTGTCGTTCAGCATCGGGCGCTCAGTTACGCAGCATCGGGGAGTTGTATGAAAAAAATTATGCAGGGTTAAACCCCTTCGCACCCCACAACAAGCACAACAAACTTGAGGTCTGAGGTAATAGAACAACCCGATTGATCAAAACAATCAGATTCCACACATAACAATCTCACACTTGGAAACTGATTGCAATCAATCATTCTCCAGATCTACACCATCAATCATAGTACATGTAGTGTGGCTAACCCTTGCTCTTATCCTCCATGAAGACCAACTGAAGCTACGCACAGCTTCAATTTATCAATATCGTCTTCGTCAGCATGTCTACAGGATTCTCGGTCGTGTGTATCTTCTCCAAAGATAACTGACCATCTTCCAGAAGCGACCTAATGAAATGATACCGAAGCTGGATGTGCTTCGTTCGAGCATGGAATGCAGCATTCTTGGCTAGATGTATATCACTAATGTTATCACTATGCAACTTCCCATTCCTTTTCTCTTACAGAACTAAAAATACAAGAGAAAACCAAGTAAATAACCCAAGGGACACAACCTTTCAAAAAAATGAAAAGAAAACTTCCCAGTTCGTCTCGCAGCACTGCAACGACAATTTTGGGCGTTACGGTGTTCAAACCTCTATTTTAATCTGCTATGGCGCTATATCTAGATTGCTACGGGGCTCCAATTTCTGTCGTTCAGCATCGGGTGCTCAGTTACGCAGTGTCAGGGAGTTGTAAGAAAAAAAATTATGCAGGGTTAAACCCCTTCGCACCCCACAACAAGCACAACAAACTTGAGGTCTGAGGTAATAGAACAACCCGATTGATCAAAACAATCAGATTCCACACATAACAATCTCACACTTGGAAACTGATTGCAATCAATCATTCTCCAGATCTACACCATCAATCATAGTACATGTAGTGTGGCTAACCCTTGCTCTTATCCTCCATGAAGACCAACTGAAGCTACGCACAACTTCAATTTATCAATATCGTCTTCGTCAGCATGTCTACAAGATTCTCGGTCGTGTGTATCTTCTCCAAAGATAACTGACCATCTTCCAGAAGCGACCTAATGAAATGATACCGAAGCTGGATGTGCTTCGTTCGAGCATGGAATGCAGCATTCTTGGCTAGATGTATATCACTAATGTTATCACTATGCAACTTCTCATTCCTTTTCCCCTTGCTAAGTTCTATCAAGAAACTTTGCAATTAAATCATCTCCTTGCTAATCTCAGTGATAGCAATGCACTTCGCTTATGTGGTTTAGAGCGCAACAATCTTCTATAACTTGGAAACATAATTGACTGTAGTTTTCTCAAAATGAAGATATAACCTGTTGTGCTTCTTGTACCATCAAGATCTCCAGCAGATCATAATCTACATATCCCTGTAGATCTATCCTTGCACCACCAAAGCAAAGAGCTTTGTCAACTAATCCTCTTAAGTATTTGAGAATTCACTTAACTGCCTCTCAATAAAATTTGTCTGGGTTACTCATAAATCTGCTGACTACTCCCATTGCATAAGCTATATCAGATCTTGTGCAGATCATAACATACATCAAACTTCCAACTGCTGAAGCATATGGAGTCTTCTTCATCTATTTTTCCTCTGCTTCATATTTTAGCGATTGTTCCTTGGATAATTGAAAGTGACAACCCAAGGGAGTTCAAATTGACTTTGCCTCACTCATGTTGAATCGTTGAAGCGCCTTTTCAACATACTCTGCTTGAGCAACTTCAGTATACCTGCACTTCTATCTCTAGTGATTCTCGCACCGAGAATTTTCTTTGGTGGACCCAGATCTTTCATTTCAAATTTTTTTAATAACAGTTCTTTCAGCCATCTTATCTTCTCCATATCTGAACTTGCAATGAGCATGTCATCTACATACAAAAGTAGAATAGTATAATAATTATCAAAATATTTAAAAAAACAACCGTGATTAGCCTAACACTTCGTGTACTAATTATATGATATAATCCTGTCAAATCTTCTATATCATTGTCTTGGTACCTGCTTTAGCCTGTATAAGCTCCTCATGAGCTTACACACCATATCTTCATTACTTCTGACCATATATCTCTCAGGTTGCATCATATACAACTCTTCATCAAGGTAACCATTAAGAAATGTTTTCTTTGCATCAATCTTCTCTAGATGTAAATCCTCCACTGCTTTTAGTGAAGTCCACTCATTTCTTATGCTGAAAACTTTTAACTACAAGCCTGGCCTTATAACGCTTGCCACCATCAGGTTCTTCTTTTAGCCTGTAAACCCACTGCAGTTCTTTCTTGCCATCTGGTAGCTCTGTCAACTCCAAAGTCTGATTCAACTCAAGTGAAAGCATCTCATCATCCATGGCTTGCTCCCGCTTCTTTGAATCATGAACTTGAATGGCTTCATCATAACACTCTAGTTCATCACTATCTATCAACAATATATAATATAAGGAGAATACATTTGTACTAGCCTTGAGATTCTAGTGGATCTCCTCATTTCAGTAGCAAGAGTTTGAGGTACTCTTTGTACTTCATCAGCTGTCTTAATCATCATCACCCTTTATCTCATCATACTTGGAAGAATCTTCATGAGTCTCATTTGATCCTTGTATATTTCTCTTTCATTGAATTTAACATCCCTGCTTTTGATGAATTTTTTTATTCTGATAATCCCAGAATTTATAGTTAAATTCATCTGAGCAATATCCAATAAATGTACATTTGATAGATTTTGGATCAATCTTACTCCTAGATCCTGCATCAACTTGAACATAGGATGAACAACTAAAATTTTTTAGGGTAATATACTAACCTCATTTCCACTTTAAGCTTTCTTAGGTAGCTCCTCATTCAGTGGAACCGAAGGACCACGATTGATCAAATAAATTGTAGTATTCACTGTCTCTGCCCAAAACTGCTTTGGGTAGGCCAGCATGCAATCTCATGTTTTTGGTGCGCTCAGTGATAGTTCTATTCATGTGCTCTGTAACATCATTCTATTGTTATTTTCTAGGAACAACAAACTCATACCTGATCTCATTCAAAGCACAATACTCCTTGAACTTCTTGCCATGATACTCACCACCATTATCTGATATGAGACACTTAAGATTCAAACCAGTCTCAATCTCAACTATAGCCATCCACTTAAAAACATCAAGCATATCTGAATTGTGTTTTAAGTACACCAATACCTTCCTACTGTGATCATCAATAAATGTAACAAAATACAAAGATCCTCCTATAGAAGTAATAGGAGCACGAACCCATACATCAGCATACACTAACTCCAACTTCTCTGACTTGACCTTTGAACCAATATTTGAAAAACTCATCTTATGTTGCTTGTCATATGCACAATCTTTTTCAAAATTCTAGATTTATAGATTTTAAATCATGAAGCTTTTCTCTAGTAAGAAGTGAATGCATATCTTTTTTTACTCATATGACCAAGTCTTTGATGCCAAAAGCCTCCATCAATATCTGAATATGCTACTCCAATAGAATATATTCTTCTATTAATAACATGCAGGGTGCCCTTCAATATTGCCACTAGCTATAACCATACCCCCTTTTATCACCTTCCACGTATCTCCTGTGAATAATGGCACATGGCTTGAGTTTGCAAGCTGACTCACAGAAACTAAACTCCTCTTTAGACAAGGAACATGCTTAACATTATTGAGTCTCCAAATTAACTCATCTGACATTCTAATATCAATATCTTCTTGTCCAACAATGTTGCAGGGCTTGTTGTCTCCGAGATACACTTTACCCAAATTACCTTGAGTATAGTTCTTGAATGACTCCTTGTTAGGACTTGCATGAAAAGAAGCACCTGAATCTATCACCCAAGATTCAGAATTGTCCATAGATAAAATCAGAGAATCTGATTGACATTCTTCTGCAGATAC